TTATATTTATATATAATATACAATTGTTTGACATAAATATATATAAAATTATAAAAAACATTTAATTTTAAATCTATAATTTAGATAATCTGTTACAAGGTCAAAATTATCCTCCTTCATTTTTTTTTTAAATACTCTATTGACGTGATTAATAATGAAACAAGCTAATATTTAATGACAACCATATTAATCTTACTTAATACATTATTGTATTATATATGACTAAAAGTTGCAGTCTGTTGTCATTTTAATTCAATGAAGCACATATTGGAATTAAAATGATGTGTGACCACAACTGTTTTCAGTTGTAGTACCATTAGGATTAATTTTTTTTTCATTCTATAGAGTGGAAATATTTATTATACTCATTGTTTATTGTATCATAATTATTTGAAAAAATATTCAAACAGGAGATATTTTTTTCAGAACTGCAAAAGATTTTCTATGAAGTTATCAATATATAATTACTAGTCTTATTATTTCTAATAAAAGTAGAAAAATTTTCTGTAATAATTTCTATAAATTAGTTAGCAAGCTTTTTATGCTACTGTATCATTTTATGACATTAGAATGTAAGTAAACTATTTAGTTCTGAAAACTTAAGCACTTCACTTATATATAATTACAAATAAACTTACAATTATATTTTTCCATAATATGCTGCACACTATTTCTAAAAATACAAACCTGTGTTTTTACAATTCAGTAGCATTATATATAAATAGTTTTGTAGAATTTCATGTTATTTTATAACTTTATAATTTTCCTTTAGTGCATGCACTCTAGTCAAAATTTAATAATTGCATTAACCTAAAACATCTTGGCATCTTTGTGCTCTCTGAGCAGTAACGGGCATAAAACCACAAATAAAAAAAAAACCTAAAACATTGAAAAATCAAAGTATTTTCATATTTAGATTTATCAGTTTGCTTTTTAGTATGAAAAGTAAAAATATTTTAAGTTTAGTAATATTTAAGTAGTTCTAATATTTTTGTTTAAGATAGAATGAATTTTTATTTATATACTGTATAGAGTTGTTGATCATGTTGACGTATCGATGCCCTATCAAGAGGAAAAATTGTTTATAAAATTCAACAGGTAGCCCATCTGGTCCTGGTGATTTGTTATTTCCCATGCTATTTAGCGCTGCATTGCATTCTTCATAAGTAATGTTTCTATTTAGCTCAGTACTCTGCTTATTGTTAAGCTTTGGCATTCGAGACATGAGGTCTCGTGCTTTTCCTTCGTGAAAACTTTTCCTTTCGAATATTTTTGAGTAGTATTGGTGAATAAATTTTGTTATTTCTTCATCATCAGTTATTGTTTCATTATTCCCATTTTTTATTGTACTGATCGTTTTATATTGATTATGCTTTCGTTCCATTTGATAAAATTTCTTGGACGGATGAGTTTCCTGCTCACAAAGCTCTGCACGAGATCGGATAAATGCTCCATGTAGACGGTTCTCGTGATATATTTTTAGTTTGGCTTTTGCGTCCGCAATGGCTGTTTGATGCTTGCCAGGGTATTGGATTTCGTCTGTGTATGCCTGTTTCAGCTCTCGTATCCCGTTTTCGTATTCTTTACGACGTTGTTTTTCTTTATTTATACTTATCTTAACTGCGATATTTTTAATATTTCTTTTCACAGTTTTCCACCAATCACAGTCGTTTTCTCCCGTGGTGTTAAATATCGCTTGGGTTGCTTCAGTTAGGAAGTCGGCTTCTTTCAGTAGATTTACGTTCATTTTCCAGGGTGTATTTACTCTATGTTTGGATTTGCATTTCCTCTTTGTTAAGTCGAGTGTTAAAATAACATCGCTATGATTAGTTAAGTGATTCGGAATGATTTCGCATTCTGATGTTATCTGTTGGAGGTGACTAGAAATATAGAATCTATCCAAACGGGAGTGAGATTTATTCTGATGGTATGTGAATTCACGTTTATGGGGGTTCATTTTACGCCAAATGTCAATTAAGTCGAACCGATCTTTCAGGGTCTGGAAAATTTTAGTTTCGCTTTTATTGCAGGTGTTTCCTATTCTGTCTATATCTTTCTCGACAAAGTTGAAGTCACCGCCTAATACGACTTCGTTAGTGGAATCCAGATAAAAATCAAGGATATTGATAAAGTCACGTCTTGCCTTCGGATCTCCTGATGGGCAGTACACTGAGATGATTCTCAGCATTTCTTGTGAAAATTCTATATCACAAAGAGCCAACCGTCCGTGGTCGTCGTGTGTCCGGTATACGATATTGATGCCATGTTTAACTAGAATCGCCGTTCCTGCGTTGCCTCTGTTACCATGGGACCAGATACATTGATAAAATTTGTTTATGTTACGGGCAAATTGATGAAAATTTTCATTTTCACTAAGCATTGATTCCTGAATTAATGCAACATCAATTTTACTAGTAAGCAGTTTGTGAATGAAGATTTGTTGTTTATTTTTGTTGTTCAGTCCGTTGATGTTTATTGAGAGAATTTTTAGCTTATTCATTCTGGCGGGATTATCATGACTTCCGGCTCGTTTGTTTTGATGCTTTGTAATTGATGCTCGTTTGTTTTGATGCTCTGTAATGATTTACATATATACATATATATATATGTAAATCATATACAGTGGGTGATCAGTTAATGAAGAAATTGGATAATGAACACTTTTGTGAAAGATTTTTATGTTTAGATAATGAACACCTTGCAGAACAAACACAAGAAGAAACGACATAAAATAACAAATATACTGATTGGTCTTTCCTTGTCTTCAGGCAACAATTCAAAACTTTTTGGAGCGCGGGAGACATCAACACTTAACCTGGTATATACTGATCGGATAGTATTCCTCCGAACTTTGAAACTCTCTCTTATAATTCCAGCCTTTCATTTTCCTGGCAGAAGCAATTCTTTTATAGTATTTGCGAGACTGTCAGGCAAGCACTCGTTAAGTTTTGCATTGGTTTTTACTTTCAAAAGGTGAGAGTATAATAGCAAAGGTAGAGAGTGGGCAGAAGATGTCTGATGTTGATGGGCAGTATGGCTTGAACAGGCCACAGTTCAATCTTATCTAAGAAAGATACAGTATAATCAAGAAGACTCAAGCAGCTTAAGGATGTAACAAAAATCACATCTGAGAAATAAAGAACATTGAAGAGCTCATAATGGAACCTGAAACTGATCTAATGACAGAAGAATGCCAAGAACTCTTAAATGAAGAACATCAAGAAACTCAGTGAGATATGTTTTTTTTCTGAAAAAGAGGATTAAGGGTGATATCTGCTATTAAAGATCTTTTGAAGAAGTGGGAGGATGTCAGAACAATGGTCTTAGAATGGCATCTAAACCAGGTTGAGGTTAATAGGCTTGGGGATCTCTACAATTACAATGCTATTAATTACTTTCAAAAAATCCTGAAGAAGAGAGAAAAGCAATCGACATTAGACAGATTCTTTAATCCTCCACAAATGGAAAAAAAACATGACTAATAAAAATGCAAGACTGTGTATATATGTATTTTTATTATTACATTTAAATAAATTTGTAGTAAGAAAGTATATATTTTTTATTTTTTGGGGTTTTCAGAATGAATTAANAACCCCACATGTGGAAAAACATGATTAATAAAAATGCAAGACTACATATATGTATTTTTCCTATTACATATAAATAAACGTGGTAAGAAAGTATATATTTTTTATTTTTTGGGGTTTTCAGAATGAATTAATCAAATTCCCATAAAAACCTATGGTAAATCAGTAATTGGTTAACGAACAGTTCGGATAGCAAAGTCTTCAAACGGATTATGTTCCTTAACTGATCACCCACTGTATATGATTAACAGGATGAAAGTTTTCTTTGATAAAAACAAATTTCTATTAAAATGTATTTAAAACTATTTAAAAGTTTACATACACTTTTCACAGTATAGAATTTCATTTGAAATTGTATACTATATAATAAACTTTTTAGAAATAATGAATTTATTTTGTAATGTTAGTTTAATTCATTTTACTATGTAATAATAAAGCCATTTTGTATATTACTGCTTATTATATTCATTTCTCTGTATATTTTGAATGAATTAATGAATGACTTGTAGTTTATGATTTACCTATTTCGTAAACTAAGACTTAGCATATCGACTTAATTGCAATGCAAGTGTAAAAATATGAAGTAACTGTGAAAATATTAAAGTTCACAAAAAAAAATTTAAGTTCTTATATAATGTAGAATTAATTTTAAGTCTAAAAATTACTAAATTCATTTTTTTCTTGAATGTATACACTTGTGTAGTGTCTTATAAAATTCTTTAGCATAATAATATTGTACAAATTTTGTAATACTTCCAAAAATGATAAGAATAATCTGTTATACTATCAGTAAACAAGTAGTCTGAAAATAGAAGTGTTCAGTGACAAATTCCATTTAAATGCAGAAAATCTATGTGATTTTTAGAAATTAATAATTATTAAATCTATAATGTTGGGAAAATTTGAGAAGTTATTTTTGAAAACAAATGATGTTTCAGATTGTTTCTAAAATTTTAGGTTTATTTTTGAAGTAATTGATACACCTTTAACACTGGGTGGAATTTAAATAACGCTATTGTTTTCAACTCGGTTAATGGACTATCTTCAGGCATGGAAGTTAAAAGTAGAATACAATTAGGATCCTAATTTCAATACCTAAAGATGGCTTGTTAATAGGGTTGAAAACGATAGTGTTGTTTGAACCTCACCCACTATTAAAGGTGCATTGATTAATTTAGCTGAGTATCCACAGTAACTAGTTCATTTTTATATTTATTTATCAGAAATATTATATAATCTCTGCAAGAGGAAAATAAATAAATTTTAAATGATCAAGTTTGAATTTTGATAACAAATTTAAAAAAATATTGTGTTATGTAATTTATAAGTTTAGAAATAAAATATTAATTATTAAGAATATTTAAATAGATAGTTTTTAAGATAAATTGAATAATTTTACTAATTTCTTTACAGGCTGCTCATGCTGTTCTTCAGCAACAGGATGCAAATAAACCAGTGTACAAAGTAAAAAATGTATCTTTAAACACATTATGTAGTATGTATGGTGGCCCTGTTAATCCTCACAAAGATCAAATGAAAAATCTGTACCGAAGAGATCAAAAATTTTGGAGTCGTCGACCTCTCACAGACGACATGATTTTTCATGCAGCTTTTGATGTCGTTTGTCTTTTACCAAATGTTTATCATAATATAAAAGGGTAAAATAGTTCATTTGTACTAAAAATGTTAATTTCTAATTTATCATCTCAGCTGAGTTACCAGAATAACCGTATAAATATATTTGTTGAAGAGTTTTTGAAAGTTAAATATTTTAATAATTAATTACTTGAAAATTTGTCATTATGAATAGCAACATAACTATCGTTTGAATATTTAATAAAAGTAATTTAGTAAAATTTTATATAATTATTAATAATAAAAAAGCATTTGTTTGTAAATTTATTAATATGATAGATATTAATTAAATTTAATATACAAACTTTTTTATTACTTTATATATATATATATACTTAGTAACTTAGAAAAGTATTCATACAGATAAAGCTTTATTCTAAAAGCACTTATATCTATGATAAAATCAGAAATATTAAGATATATTTGTAAGAAAAGTTAATGTTATATACTTTTCTTAGCAAAAATTATATAAAAACAATGATTTTGGATTCTTTATTAAACTTATATCTACATTACTTAATTACTTTCTCTTGGAAGCATTAACAGTTGAATAGAAGCATAGATTGCTCATCATGAACAGTTAATAGAAAAGAATACTTTAAAAGTATCAGATGTAAACAGAACTGTAGAGGGATATAATACCCAAAATGCATATAAAGCCTATTTTTACACCATTTTGCTGGTTTTCCTGTATGATAAGTCTGTTATAGGAATTTTATGCTCACATAGAAGACATCACAATGAATATTTATTTTTAAATATTTTATTATTACTTTTAGAATTAACAGGTAATATAGAATATTGTTTAGAAGTTCACATAAAATTCAGATTTTAATTAATTACTTCATATTAAAAAGAGATTTTAATTAATTAATGAAGATGATATAGAACAATTTTCTCATTTTAAAAATAATAATAATATGATTGCCATATAAGACTAGGTTATAGGTCATAAATAAAAAAACTACAGAAAGTATATCTTAAAAGACAACATTCACAGATGATATCTAAAAGAAATGCTACATCATGAATGAAACTATAACATATCATATCAAGTTGCAAGCTTTTAGCACCAACAAACTACTTACATTAATATAGTGTTTCTCAACCTCTAACGAATTGTCACCCCCTTCANTACATCCAACAGTACAAATACGGTGGGTGATCGGAACACAAGTAGAACAGACGTAAAATAATGAATACCGATTGGTCTTTCCTTGTCTTCAGGCAACAATTCAAAACTTTTTGGAGCGCGGGAGACATCAACACTTAACCTGGTATATACTGATCGGATAGTATTCCTCCGAACTTTGAAACTCTCTCTTATAATTCCAGCCTTTCATTTTCCTGGCAGAAGCAATTCTTTTATAGTATTTGCGAGACTGTCAGGCAAGCACTCGTTAAGTTTTGCATTGGTTTTTACTTTCAAAAGGTGAGAGTATAATAGCAAAGGTAGAGAGTGGGCAGAAGATGTCTGATGTTGCTGGGCAGTATGGCTTGAACAGGCCACAGTTCAATCTTATCTAAGAAAGATACAGTATAATCAAGAAGACTCAAGCAGCTTAAGGATGTAACAAAAATCACATCTGAGAAATAAAGAACATTGAAGAGCTCATAATGGAACCTGAAACTGATCTAATGACAGAAGAATGCCAAGAACTCTTAAATGAAGAACATCAAGAAACTCAGTGAGATATGTTTTTTTTCTGAAAAAGAGGATTAAGGGTGATATCTGCTATTAAAGATCTTTTGAAGAAGTGGGAGGATGTCAGAACAATGGTCTTAGAATGGCATCTAAACCAGGTTGAGGTTAATAGGCTTGGGGATCTCTACAATTTCAATGCTATTAATTACTTTCGAAAAATCCTGAAGAAGAGAGAAAAGCAATCGACATTAGACAGATTCTTTAATCCTCCACAAATGGAAAAAAAACATGACTAATAAAAATGCAAGACTGTGTATATATGTATTTTTATTATTACATTTAAATAAATTTGTAGTAAGAAAGTATATATTTTTTATTTTTTGGGGTTTTCAGAATGAATTAATCAAATTCCCATAAAAACCTATGGTAAATCAGTAATTGGTTAACGAACAGTTCGGATAGCAAAGTCTTCAAACGGATTATGTTCCTTAACTGATCACCCACTGTATATGATTAACAGGATGAAAGTTTTCTTTGATAAAAACAAATTTCTATTAAAATGTATTTAAAACTATTTAAAAGTTTACATACACTTTTCACAGTATAGAATTTCATTTGAAATTGTATACTATATAATAAACTTTTTAGAAATAATGAATTTATTTTGTAATGTTAGTTTAATTCATTTTACTATGTAATAATAAAGCCATTTTGTATATTACTGCTTATTATATTCATTTCTCTGTATATTTTGAATGAATTAATGAATGACTTGTAGTTTATGATTTACCTATTTCGTAAACTAAGACTTAGCATATCGACTTAATTGCAATGCAAGTGTAAAAATATGAAGTAACTGTGAAAATATTAAAGTTCACAAAAAAAAATTTAAGTTCTTATATAATGTAGAATTAATTTTAAGTCTAAAAATTACTAAATTCATTTTTTTCTTGAATGTATACACTTGTGTAGTGTCTTATAAAATTCTTTAGCATAATAATATTGTACAAATTTTGTAATACTTCCAAAAATGATAAGAATAATCTGTTATACTATCAGTAAACAAGTAGTCTGAAAATAGAAGTGTTCAGTGACAAATTCCATTTAAATGCAGAAAATCTATGTGATTTTTAGAAATTAATAATTATTAAATCTATAATGTTGGGAAAATTTGAGAAGTTATTTTTGAAAACAAATGATGTTTCAGATTGTTTCTAAAATTTTAGGTTTATTTTTGAAGTAATTGATACACCTTTAACACTGGGTGGAATTTAAATAACGCTATTGTTTTCAACTCGGTTAATGGACTATCTTCAGGCATGGAAGTTAAAAGTAGAATACAATTAGGATCCTAATTTCAATACCTAAAGATGGCTTGTTAATAGGGTTGAAAACGATAGTGTTGTTTGAACCTCACCCACTATTAAAGGTGCATTGATTAATTTAGCTGAGTATCCACAGTAACTAGTTCATTTTTATATTTATTTATCAGAAATATTATATAATCTCTGCAAGAGGAAAATAAATAAATTTTAAATGATCAAGTTTGAATTTTGATAACAAATTTAAAAAAATATTGTGTTATGTAATTTATAAGTTTAGAAATAAAATATTAATTATTAAGAATATTTAAATAGATAGTTTTTAAGATAAATTGAATAATTTTACTAATTTCTTTACAGGCTGCTCATGCTGTTCTTCAGCAACAGGATGCAAATAAACCAGTGTACAAAGTAAAAAATGTATCTTTAAACACATTATGTAGTATGTATGGTGGCCCTGTTAATCCTCACAAAGATCAAATGAAAAATCTGTACCGAAGAGATCAAAAATTTTGGAGTCGTCGACCTCTCACAGACGACATGATTTTTCATGCAGCTTTTGATGTCGTTTGTCTTTTACCAAATGTTTATCATAATATAAAAGGGTAAAATAGTTCATTTGTACTAAAAATGTTAATTTCTAATTTATCATCTCAGCTGAGTTACCAGAATAACCGTATAAATATATTTGTTGAAGAGTTTTTGAAAGTTAAATATTTTAATAATTAATTACTTGAAAATTTGTCATTATGAATAGCAACATAACTATCGTTTGAATATTTAATAAAAGTAATTTAGTAAAATTTTATATAATTATTAATAATAAAAAAGCATTTGTTTGTAAATTTATTAATATGATAGATATTAATTAAATTTAATATACAAACTTTTTTATTACTTTATATATATATATATACTTAGTAACTTAGAAAAGTATTCATACAGATAAAGCTTTATTCTAAAAGCACTTATATCTATGATAAAATCAGAAATATTAAGATATATTTGTAAGAAAAGTTAATGTTATATACTTTTCTTAGCAAAAATTATATAAAAACAATGATTTTGGATTCTTTATTAAACTTATATCTACATTACTTAATTACTTTCTCTTGGAAGCATTAACAGTTGAATAGAAGCATAGATTGCTCATCATGAACAGTTAATAGAAAAGAATACTTTAAAAGTACAGATGTAAACAGAACTGTAGAGGGATATAATACCCAAAATGCATATAAAGCCTATTTTTACACCATTTTGCTGGTTTTCCTGTATGATAAGTCTGTTATAGGAATTTTATGCTCACATAGGATATGTTTTTTTTCTGAAAAAGAGGATTAAGGGTGATATCTGCTATTAAAGATCTTTTGAAGAAGAGAGGGATGTAAGATCAACGGTCTTAGTATGGTATACAAACCAGGTTGAGGTTAATAGTCTTGGGGATCTCTACGATTACAATGCTATTAATTACCTCTGAAAAATCCTGAAGAAGAGAGAAAAGCTATCAACATTACAAAGATTCTTTAACCCCACATGTGGAAAAACATGATTAATAAAAATGCAAGACTACATATATGTATTTTTCCTATTACATATAAATAANGATTTTAATTAATTAATGAAGATGATATAGAACAATTTTCTCATTTTAAAAATAATAATAATATGATTGCCATATAAGACTAGGTTATAGGTCATAAATAAAAAAACTACAGAAAGTATATCTTAAAAGACAACATTCACAGATGATATCTAAAAGAAATGCTACATCATGAATGAAACTATAACATATCATATCAAGTTGCAAGCTTTTAGCACCAACAAACTACTTACATTAATATAGTGTTTCTCAACCTCTAACGAATTGTCACCCCCTTCAATAAAACCATTACGTAGTATCGTCCCCTTCACTACAAAATTTTGATGCCGAGGGACAAGGCTAACGCCAAATTCGTACTGCATTGAATAAACTAGTGACTAGTTTAATGTCATTTGTTTAATTATTGTACAATATAACGAGTAAAATATCTAGTTATTCTTAATATAATGTTTTACTATATCACCCAGAAAATTGTTTTTTGCCCCCCAAAATATAAATTGTTACTAATCGCCCCCTCAACATGGAAAAACGCCCACACGATATCACCCCCGTTGAGAAACACTGCATTAATATAATTAAATAGCAAACATAGTATATCAAAAGTTTGGACACAAACACAAACTATTACACACTTCATATACATGTCACAGATTGTCATAGAAAACAATACAAAACATTCTATGACCAAGTCATAAACTGTCATAGAATGTCAGACATCACATAGTAACAAACAAAACAAATCACATACATCTTAGATATAGCCATGGCCATTAAGAGAAATGGATTTTCCCCTAGACCTGGAGAAAATTTAGGAGCCTATAGCAAGAGAGGCCCAGTCTACCCCTATTCCATACAAGCTATTGATGTGATGGCCTTGGACATAGCCACACCAAGTACTCATAGCATGCAAAATACATTAGAGTAGAGTCCAGCTAGCCCACTAATCCACTAGTACCACTAATCCAAATGTCCGCCTAATCCAAACATGTTTCAGTCATTAGAGAAGAAATTTTTGCTAACAAGAGGTCCACTTAAGTGTGTTTCCATTTCTTTTTCCTGAGTGAACCACATGAATAAGGCTTCATCAAGCTTGTCAAACTTTGAGGGCCTTGCTGTTTGTTGATTTTCAACTGATTTTTCTGAAGTAGAGGCACAAAACTGCTCGATCTTCGTGCAGTTTTTTTCCACTCAGTTTTGTGCCATCTGTATTGGGTACAAGTCAGATGAAATAAAGGGTGGGGTGCTGACATCATTGATGGTGTTGGATCTATATAAACCAGACCTGTTTTACTGCTTGCTTCTGCATTATTCCTATTATTCGGCTAATCCAAACAGGGCTCAGTCCCAATTTGTTTGGACTAGTGGGACTCAACTGTACTGAAAAAAATTAATAAATAAACTTCCCATGAAATAAAGTGCCTTTGGAGAATAGATAAGGTAATTAAGTCTGTAGTCCTCTCGCAGGCTACACACACTGTACCTCACAATACAGAAAGCTACCATTTTAAACTCTTCTCATATAGTAAACATATAAACACATACATACACAAACAGGAAGTAAACAAAATAATAGCTTGTTCTGTAGTTATGTCTTGAGTTTGGTCTGGCAAGCATTAGACGTTGATATGTATTCTGAGTAGGATAGCACTGCCATAATAATAATATTATGAAAACAGTTGACTAGATGGCCAAATTTAAAAAATATTTCAGTTATTAAAATTTCATTAAAACTTAATTTTATATTATTAAGGTTTATTTTTAAAATAAAACCTATTGAATTTATTATTATTATATTTGAAAATCATATAATCAAATATTAGTTTCGATTTTAGTCTAGTTATTTAAATCTTTTTCAAATCTTGTAGCTATCTAAAATAGTTAATAAAATTTATTACTATTTATATTCTTTAAAATTAATTATAAAAGTTTATTTTATCAGGAAATTACTGCCAGAATCACTCAATTTACTTCAGGATTTATGTCAGGAACAAATTTTGGCTTACATTCAACCTGAAGAAGTTAAAGCAAGAAAGAAACAAAGAAAAATAGATATGGAAGTATCAGATTTAAAACAAAAGTTATCTCAAACTACTAATAAACAAATTGTCTTAAGTAATAGAGAAATCAGACTTCTCAGGTAATATTCAAGTAATAGTTTATTAAGAATTTAGACTAGTCTTATAATGAATTTAAATTTTATTCAGTAATAAAGCTAAAGAATATATTGAACAGATAAAATTTAGTTTATAATTTACTTAATTTATAATATATGTAGATACATCGAATTAACTGATGAAGAAAGATCGAAAATTGAAGGTTCATACAAAGTGGCAAAGAAACTAGAGAGATTAAGAAATCGAGGAACCAGTAATGACTCCGGATCTGTGCATTCAGGATCTGGTCATGCTTATTCTGACGATAGCAGTGGTGACGAAAATATGGATTATGAGGATTATGAGAAAGCAGAAAATTTGAATTCTTTTGATTCATTAATTCATTCATTTGGCACACATGGATCACCAAATCATTCATTTTATAATGTAAGGATACAGAGTCCAGATCTGTTTCTAACAAATGGAAATTTTGATAATCTCAGTGGTTATTGGTCTCCAGCTGGAAGTCTATGCAGTGGCAATGATCAGTGTTGTAATTGTTGTTGTCACAAAAAGTCTTCTTTACAGCTAACAAAAACTTGCTCTGATGTATCAGATAGTTCTTCTCAAACCCTCTCTACAGGTGATATTGTCATTACAAAAGTTTTCTTTGAAGAGAAGGAGAAAACATAAAAATGGATAGAATTAGCTTTGTCTACGTTTGTTATAATTTTTTTCAAATACTGACGCTGTTTATCCATTTTGCTGGAGCCATCTGTGTTTTCTTCTAGAATCATGCATATTTGTAATTAAGTTTGTCTTGTCATGTGGAGTATCAAGAAATATCAAATCAGAGAATTGTCATATTAATTAGTAATGTAATTCATTGATAAATTTGACAAACTTTTCATTCTCTAAAAAGATTCTAAAATTTAAAACAAACTTTATCAAAATCAGAATACTTCAATTATAGTTTACACTTAAGATACAAAATATAAAAATAATAAATAAATAATAATTTAAAAAATTCAGGATGATAAAATATATATATAATGCAAAATATTTCTTGTTTTCTACCTTGACATATTTTATATTGTTTATTGTTTTACTTTCATCGTATTTAATTGGTTTGTGGGAAGAAGTTTGTAAAAAAGATAAGATTTTTTAATTTAAATTTTTTGATATTATTTGTAAAAGTTACGATCTGGTATATTTCAAAGTGAAATATACTATTGAATATTGAATGTAATTTTATAATTTGAATGATTCCTAATGTGTTTACTGAGTGAAACATATTATGGAGTCTATATAATATATATATTATTTAATGTTATATATATACATATATATATATATGATAAAATACAAATTATATTAATTTAAGTTTCATTAACTATGCAAGAAATTGTCTTCCTTCAATTGAAGTTTTGTTTCATATGTGAAGGTTAAGAAATTAAAAAAAAAAAAAAAAAAGAAATTGTACATACATATTGGCATTATAAAGAATAAATTATGAATATTGCCACTAAAAAATGAAGATCATTAAAAGTAGTGTAGATGCAACTTGCATATTGTTGGAAGAATTTGTGTCGGTTTGTTTTAATGAATAAAATTCTTACGTTGGAAACTGTGAAATGATGATAGCAAATGGCACAAAAATATAGAACCAAAAAGACACAAACATGTTGAATAAATCATTTTAGTTATTTGTTACTAATTAATCTAACTGCTGTGAATCATTACTTTGTGAGCTTGATAAGTTGTAATTCCTAACCTGTAAACTGTCTTGCATTAATTTATTTGCTTAAAAGACAGTATCAGATTCTAAAAAGAACTAGTCTATGATTGCTGTGTTTGTATAAGTTGTTTTAGTGTTGAGGCAGATTTAGAAATTATATTTTTTCACTTTTTTTGTAAAAAATATTTAATTTCATCATGTACTCAATTACTTTGAATCTTTATTTATCTTTACTATTCAGGGAAGTATATTTTTTTCTTTTTTTTTTTTTTGTTATTGTGATGCATTTCTGTTAAAGATGATATATATATGATTGTTGGCCTGGAATAATGGGAAATTTTAATTCGGACTCTACAGAAATGGTTTTTTTTTTATAATTCTGTTAAAATAATGATTTATTTAAGGACAGTTTTTCTTTCTAAACAAGCATTACATCGTATAGCAATTGTGTCTGTGCTGCATTGAAAATACAAAACTGATTTATGTGTTAATGAATGTTAATGTAGTTGGTAACATTGTAAATAACAAAATGCACATAGCTGTCTACTTGAAGAAAATAAAGTGTTGACTTAAAAAGAAATTTTTGTTTGAATGTCTTTCACTAAAAATGTAAGTAAATGTATTTAATTTTGTGTTTTATGTTTAATGGATAATTCAGTTGTTAATTAATTTTGAAAAACTTATTTAGTTAACATATTAAGTGTTTACTCCTCTTTTATGTTAAAACATTCTTTTAGAAGCAAAAAAAAGCAGCATTGTTTTTTGCATTTAAGTATTAAATTATTAATAAAGAATTACACAAATTTTTATAATTTTCTTGACTATAAATTATATTATCAAAATAGATTCATAGAATATATATATTTTATCATAATACAAGTATGTTTATACTTGTATTATGATAAACATACTTGTATGTTTATAAAGTATTTCAAACTAGGCTACATACAGTAATTCAACAATATTGTTTTATATTCTTTTGTTAGTTTTTATTAACAATAAGTTAAATACTGAATGTAAAATTTATATTTTAAGAGGCTGGTCATTAATATGTATACAGTTATGGAAGGGGTGCAAAAAGTATATCATTGTAAGCAATGAGGTATTCAAGACATGGTCTGCCTAGACCATGTCTTGAATTTATTTTGTAGTGGTGTCAGTGGTATACAAATTTATCATCAGTTAGAAAATATTTACACAACTTTATAGGTTCCAACACTGAAGAAGTGACTGAAAACTATTGTACAGTACACATAATAAAAAGTGGATGTTTTGTGAAAAGTACAAGTATAACATTGTACACAACTGGGAAGGAGGGAGTCAAAAGTGGCACAAAAAATACACATAATTAATGGACGGTCCTTAATGACAGCTATCATAAAAATTTCATTAAGATAAGTGCAAAGGGTTAATATGCAATATAGCCTATTGATACTGGTAAAACAAATGTAGGTGATGGAATTAATGTAGGTGATGGAATTATTTGCCAAGTGTCTATAAATGCACCAAGTCGTGACATAGAATCAGAAGAAACTGGTAAAACACTTAAGTTCATCTCTTGCATTATTTCTACAATTCAATTATTATATGTAATAACTTCAATATTAATAACTGTTTTCTCAAGAAATATTAATAGTTTAGATTTAATATTAAACAATCATTATGACATATAAATTTTTAAAAACGTCTTAACTTAATTTTCTTTACGGAATACACAAAAGAACATGAAAACTGAAGAAGTTAGAATTAATGATGAGAATTTTATCCAGTCACGATACTCACGATACGGCCTGAATACGATTCTTAAAGAACGTGAGTAACGAAAATCATTATCTTTGAATAAATCTGAAGCTGTTAAATAAATATGTAGATTATACTGTGTTTTAAATTTTATTTAAGATGAGGAATTTATATGAAGTACTGTAAGCGCTAAAACTCGATTGGATATTGTGTAATTAAAAGATTACGTAAGAGCAACGATTAAACGCACGGTTATGATGTGAACGTTAATTGAAAGTAGTAAATTACGATGTCATGACACTTGTCTGAACTGTCTAGCACGAAATGGGCAAATGAACAGTTACTTTATCTTACTTTAATTCCATCTTTAAGATCTTTCAATTTTTTTAAATCTCTGATAAAGAATTGAAAACACTTTTTTAAATTACTAAATTATGTTTAATTAACTTAAGTTGAGAAGTTTATTTTTAAGAAATTATTTTAGAATGTATTCTAGAAAAAGGGGTGAAGTCTTGTAAATATTATTAGACATTAATAGCAGGCCGAGAAAAGCCTTAGATATGCTTTAGAGAAAACGACAAGATTTTGATTTTTTTGAAATTTTAATTTTTCCATCGTGGATTATTAAAATATCATTGCATTGTTGAAAAAATGTATGGAGAGAAGCGATTAAATTTTATCATTCGACTTAATTATCAGTGCTATTGCTGCTATTTCATATAGAAATAGCTGTTGCTTCGTTCTCCAAGTTTTCCTTCTGTCAGGGCTAGTTTCCTGCCTGTTTCCAGGACAGACGTTTCTAATCCGCGGAAGTTGTCTGTAGGTGGACACCGGGATGTGTTCTTACCAGATGATGCCTATGCAAGAGTTTAATCATTGCCGTACGTCCCGATATTGGGACACACTATCCATAAATGATACGGTGTTTTAGCTAATTAATTCTGGTCCATAAAAATTCGTTCAGCACTTCCGTGGCTGTTTGAAGAATTACCAATGTTTCGAACTATAGACCGAGAAGTAAAGGCATCAGTCTGCTTCTATAGATGGTCTATCAGTGGCCGAATGGGTAAAACCACTGAACACCTAATTCGCGCCTGAACCAACGGTCTGGCCGCGTGTAATTTCCCGAGTTCTCTTCGCGTGTGTATCATCTAAAGCATACATTTTCCTATAGAATGTTTTCATGCGAGGCATCCCACTTGATAGATCGCCCTCATGTTTCGTTCTTATACCATCAAATTAAATCTGCCTCTGAGCGACCCGAGATCGAATCCTGGTAAAGAACCTTACGAATTTTTTATGGGCTGCCTATCCCGGATACGTGAGGTCTTTCTCTCACTAGCTGTATACCCATTATGGACGTACCAAGCCAATCTATACTAATATTATAAAAAGGTAATGTTTGTATGCAAGTTTGTATGCAGCAGGTAATCTCCGAAACTACTCATCCACCAATATTTAGAATGGAACCTCAGGGTGGACATAGGCTGTATATTATTCCGTTAAACATTCATATAAATTAAAATATATAATCTAGGTTAAAACTTTTATGTCAACAGATGGCGCTACGAGTACGACGCCCTAAGTTTGCTTTTCTGCGAGGCATTACGCTTTTCTGTGAAAATGAACTAAAACAGATCATCATCTATTTATATAAATAAAAATGTAATGTTCGTTTGTTCCTACTGATTCCTTTGAAATTTTAACACAACGCTGCATTCGAATACGCACGTGTTTTTATATAATATACATGTCGAAATCCCCCCGGGAGATGGACAGGATTAAGGCTTACCGTAAAGAACTGTGCTTCTATTTATGCTATTTTAGATGCGGTTTTTTGCGTTTTTGATTGAGTTTTAATAGGGTACGTCAACAGAATATACACTATAAAGGGATTTTTCGATATTTCCCCGCGGGGGAGAGAGACAGGATTAAGGCTTACCGTGAAGAACTTGGCTTCTATTATACTATTTTAGTTGCGGTTTTTTGCGTTTTTGATTGTGTTTTAATAGGGTACGTCAAGAAAATGTACATTAAGGGATTTTTCGAAAAATCCCCCCACGGGGGAAGTGTTATACATTTATAATAGATACATTTTGAGCCACAACAACGCGTGGCGGGGTCTGCTAGTATAGACATAAAAAAGAGTTATTAGTGCCGAAATCGCACGGCGGAGTTACAAAAATATGTGTAGGTAAACAGAAGAGAACATTAAGATAGCCAATGTAACCATTATTATTTACTGATGAGATCTCTGATACTTTTATCAAACATTGCTTTCTCAAAAATCATGAAAGTTTTGACAGATAATATGAATTGTTAAAATACAGACAAACACAGTAAAGGATGGTTTAACAGATAAAAAATCATTGCATCCATTAGATATAATTTAAAATTTCATTAATTATGTTAATGAAAACACGGTTTAATGTTTAAAATTACTAGTTATATTATTATTGGTAGCATTCCATGATATGAACCGGTACTAGAATTTAGAATTAACATTTATATATCTTATAAAGATGTGAAAACATTTACTTACGGCAATATAAAATACCAAATAATTTCATATTTTGATATTTTATATTATGCGAATAGCTTTTAATTGTTTAATTTAGGAAAACACAAAAATAAAATGTCTTCAAAAGAACTGAAAATAAATCAAAAATGAGCTTTACATTCCTCTATAACTAATTATAACTACCCTTATTAGAAAATTCACACCCGATTGGCTTGTTAGCTCAGTCGGTTAGAGCGTCGTGCTAATAACGCGAAGGTCGTGGGTTCGATCCCCACACGAGCCACAACTTTTTTTTACCTCTTCATTCTTTTAATTCCGATAAGGTAATAATAAAACTCGAAAAGCTTTCTACGTTTTGTAAGTATATTTTCTTCTTTATCAATTTTCATTGGCTAAATTGCTCGAATACGTTTTGTAGGCTACTGGCAAAACAATTCAGAATAATAAAAATAAATTTTAAAAACGTATTTCACTAATAAAAGAAACATTGTTT